GTTTTTAAAGCCGGCATCAGTATGCTGTGCATCATTAGATTGACATTAATTTAAAAATTAATAGCTATGGTAGCCGTTGTCGTTTAACGCACTGACCTCACATCTGATTTGTATTTTCTTTTGGAGTTCGCCCTGTTTTTCACCATCGCCTCACATTGCACGCCTCATAAATCCCCACTGAACTTGATATCTATCTCTTTCATATATTAGCAAAAGGCGATTGTCCTCGGTCTCACATATATGCATAAGGGTCAGGCTTGTCTTCGGTTTTTGTACATCAAGTGACTAAATGAGCAGAGAGCAGTAATGATTGCAGCAGATTCTGAGCACAATTCGAAAAAATACAAGTTCAATCAGTGATGTACTCACTTTGCCCCTTCATTCCGAATCAACTGAGCTTTTGATTGTTGTTCTAGGTATCAGACGAAGTCTGTGTTGGGAGAAGTGTGTAACTGTTACGAAAGTAACTTGTGTCTTTACCAAAGATGGTCAAGTCTGCTGGGCCGTTTACGAAGAAACGTGCGTAACATATTGCGGTTAAAAAAAAGGGCAGAGGGAAGAAAAGCCGGCTTTTCTTCTCTAACCAGCATTTTTTTTTTTTTTCGGTCTTTCTTTTTTGAACAAGTGGTTCTTGACGGATTAAAATTAGAAGAAATTAGACGTTATATGATGGAGTCCAGTTTACAGTTTTGCTATTAATAAAAACTTCGAAGTCAAGCAAACAGATCAGTACATTTTAAGTCGCAATACAAAGATTTATTTTCATTTTTTGGTTGAGAAAAGTAAGATTTTATTTCAGTTTTTTTAAATGAGAACTCTTTCAAATGATTTCAACGTGACTAAACTTGTTTAAGTGAGCTTGTCGATATGCAATAACAACTAATAGCTTTAGCAAAGTTGTGATAAATTAATTGTAGGTGTCATATAATTAATTAGATAATTACAATTTAAAAGCAAATACTGAATTAAACAAAGTAAATAAAGTCTCTTTATCTGCCACATAAAATCGATTGTTCTTTTTGCTTACTATGTTTAATGTGTCTGAGTACTAGTGTTACAGTATGTCGAGTCTATATATAGGACTGTTTCGAAGCCATTTTTTCCTCCGTCTCCTTCCTAGGTTCATAAAGGTTCATTCGGTATTTCCTAAGACCCAGAATAAGTGGCCAGCTATAAACTGAACAAAACAAGTCCTATAAGTTCCTCTTGGTAGTGTAGAATCCCAGAAGAAAGGGCCTCCCCCCTCCTCTCTCCAGTATGATTCTACCCCTTCCCTACATCATTGCTCGTCGCCAAACTTGTTCGGTGTGCACGCAGACCTTTCTTCGAGATCNCCCCCGCCCCCCTCCAATACGATTCTATTCCTGCCTTACATCGGCGTTCGTGGCCAAACTTGTTCGGTGTGCACGCAGAACTATCTCTGAGATCATTTCTTGCTCAGTTGTAAAATAATATGGATCTTTTTTCTTCTCTGTAAAAAGTTTTGAGTGGAAACGGGCAGAAAACCAAAAGCAGATTGCGGGGAATTATACTTCTTTGGGATCCCATATTTTTTTATGAATTTGCAAGGGATTCTTATGAAACATCGTAGATTTACTAAATTCGGCATAATCGATCTGTGGTTATTTTTTGTTTAGTTAAAAATTACGAAAAATTGTTGATATATAAACAATAGCCTGCATTTGGCGCGCAAATATGCTCGGATATTTCTCCGCAGACATTATCTGCTCTGAGAGGCTATCGCGTGTTTATTATCCTTCAAATATTTTTCGCAGTTTTGAATTTTGCGGAATATCACTCGGATATTCCCCAGTTTTAGCTGGGGCATATTCAGTCAAGGAAGCGCTTAGACCAAACTGCGTAGGCGAAAATATTCCATGGATTATAAATCAACAATAACCTCCATTCGGCGGGTAAATATGCTCGAATATTTGTTCGCGGACATTATCTGTTCCGAGAATCGAACAGTTTTCCGAGAGCGTAGCTCGATGTAAACTGTGAGCTTCGAGGATCCAATAATGTCCAAGGACAACTACCCAAGCAAAAAATCGACGCTATCGTGTTTATCCTTCAAATATTTTTCACAACGCGCGCAAATTTGAAAACTGGGGAATTATTATCGCTCGGAATCCTCAGTTTTAGCCGGGGCATATTCAGTCGCGTGACGCGTTTAGGCCAATCGTACGCGAGCGAAAATATTTGATGGATTATAATGCGTGAAATCGGTATGAAGGTCCATTTGTTTAAAGCGCGTACCATATATTTAATTGTGAAATAAACATTAAGACACTGGTGAATATTGAATATCGAATATTGGTGTACCAGGCATGTACACCAACATGGCGGTTTCATACTGGGCTCCGGTAAATTTTGGCGAAATATTTCGACGAATACCTGAAGTTTGGAGAGACGCACAGGCCTAAAACTTGGAGAAGTGTCTTATTTAGTCATCTTCTACAACATCACAATTTCTTAGTTTTTTTCCACTGGATGGTTTTCGATTTAATTTTTATTGCGTGACAGCGAAAACGAAGCGCTCATGATGTAATTTGCCCCCGCTGTAGAGGGGG